CAAAAAATTGTTAAAATTAGTTGGAGATATGGATCAGTTTTTGATGATTCCCATCAACTATCATGTGAAGATTATCCAAAGATTACTTCATAAATCAAACAAACTAAAACTGTTTGACATAGAATTTTTCTTAATGATAGAGGCAATACTGAGCTGTTGAATGAGATGTCTAACGTCATGAAATTTGTTTTCTACGCTAAAAAATGCTTGTCTGAGAAAAAATCTATGTTGACTTTCTAGCTTCTTCGTATGATGACCAATGAACTCCAAAGATTTAGATTTAGCTATTTTTTACTAGATAGCGAGATTTTTGTGATCATTGTTGAATACAAATTCAAAGGCTGCGTGGTTCCTATTAACTGAGAATATTTTATCGAATGCAGTAAGTTTTCGTATTTATTGAAAAATAATTCGTAAGATTTTAATGTTTTTCTTTTTATGTAAGAAACTTTTGAAAAGTATATAAAAACGAATGAATGAGTAAAAATTTCTAAATGTTTATATTGTAACTTATTTAACGACTTTTTCAATTTCTTCTACAAAAATAACTTAAATCGATCCAACTTGAAAATGTTTTTTTGAATTAGTGATCTCTATTTGTTCTGAGAGTGCTGCGACCAGACACAAGAAATATTTATTTTTTGTACACCAATCATTTTTTAAAAGTTTTAATTGAAACTAAAGATCTATTCATTTGAAGTTTTCTAAGATAAAGTCGAGTCGAAGTGAAATCGATGTTGATTTACTATACTGCAAGGCAAACTATGACTATATCTGATCTGGTTGTTATTGTTTCAATGAAAGTAATAATTGTCTATCTTGTAATGTTTCATTAGTGAAGCTTGGCTTTTTCCTTTTGATTCTTTTTTTTTCTTCTAAATGCTGACCCTTAAATAAATCCTATGAAAATTTTATGTTATTTAACGTATTTATTAAAATTTGATTGTGGATATTTGATAATTTCTGGATTGATTAATTCACATTGTTTTTTCAAATGCTGATCTTGTTAAAAATAAAACAATACAGTAAAACCTTTCCATATGTATATTTGCTTGTTTCCTCGAACTGTTTTTTGCAGAGAATGAACCTCTCTAACATGTACATCTCTGTATTCTTCACTGTCAACACTTTTTTGATCCAATGATCTCATATACAGTGAAGAACATTTTGAAAGGGAATAAGTATCTATTTTTCATGGAATTTTTTTGGCATTGTCTTAAGATTTTGAAAATCTCAAACATTAAAGTCTTCGAATACTTATTTCTTATTTGGATAGAATTTTGTTTGAAAATTGTGCACTGAAGAGACTCTAGTTCTAGATGAGCGACTGTTCGAGGGAAGAACAAGCGAATATTACTTGGACACAAGAAAGGCATGTGCGCGAGATGAGGGCATAGTTTTAGAAAAAAGAGACAAGAAGCTTCACCTGTGTCGATGGCAGAAGTGACCATTTGCAGTTACCTTAAAAAAAAATAACTGTCTACCATTGTTTCAAAAGCGAATGTCAGCTCCATAGAGTTACATAAATGTTTTGAAAAATGTGACAGATAATTGCTTGTCAGGAAAACGATAAATAATCGACTATAATGTTGAATGCATGTAACACTAGTATGCCATGTATCCTTGAATAGACGAGCAATCTAAAGAATATAGAGCAATTAATAGGAAAAAAAGAATTGAACAAATGTTTATTTATATACTCATGAAGAGGCTGTAGTTCACGATTTCTCTTCAGTACAGTCTAGCTGGAGTTAAATCACGCCTCTTTTGATTGAAAGCTGTGCAAAAGATGTTTTATCAGTGAATCTTTCAAATGAAAGTTTTCGACTATTGATTAGACAAGCTGTCCTCAACACAATTTCATGCAACATGATTTCAAGAAAGCGTATGGGATAGACTTTAGCAACTATAACAACTATCTCGATACGGAGGAGTCATATTGTAAACAGTTCAAGATTCGATAAAGGCTATCAACATGTAAATTATTTCTGTGGACTTTGTCCAAAAGCTAGTTCACGCCTCAACTTCAAATTCAAATATCTAGGTTTTCATTCCAAAGTCCAGATGTATATTGGATTCTTTACCCCCTAGATGTTCGAAACGATAACCAATCAAGATTTTTTGTGTTATTTGAAAAGGACTTGAAACTGTTGATAGTGAAAATGAAGAAATGCTTTGATTAATTCCATATAACATTAGATCATAAACAAGAACAACTTATTATTTTTTTTTTCTTAAAAATAAATATTTTGAACATTTAACTTTTTGAAATACTAAGTAATGCTACAGTTTGTGAAGAACGATATATTGTGATGAACGTGAACAATATCGAGAATATTTCGATGTATTCTACGAAAAAGTTGATCAACTTTCAGTTACTTTCAAAAAAGTAGCTATTTTCAATACTTATTTATCTTTTTTTTTTTAATCATTGTGTTACTTTAGCTTTATATGTCATATTCAAGATCATTGAGTACTTCACTACGATCATCACAAGAATACGAGATGGAAATTTTCCATTTTACGTCATGTACAGCAAAATAAATGAATCTATGATATGTTTCATCAAATAATTGATGTGATATTTGTGTCAACTCTTTAAAAGAAAATATTTGCTTTGAAAATAAATCATAGTCGTTGAAACCAAGTGAATGAAAAGGTTTGAAATATGAATAGGAGAGTTCTGCAAGAGTATGAGTTTCGTTATTCTATTCTGCTCTACATTGTTTTTTCATATCGTATCATACAAAATATAAAAATCAGTCATCGGATACTGTGCTCGATTTTCTTCTTTATTTGTAAAGTGATTAAAAAAAATTTACAAACATCTACAACAGTATACAAATAATATCACAAACAATATGAACAAAAAATTAGAACTACGTACTTCAACGATTGAAGTTTATCAGCTATTACAACGAAAAACAACAGCGTCAAATGTTTTCGGAACTAGTTGCTGTCAATGTATTTCTAAGATTCCTAGAAGACTACTGCAGGTAACGGTTTTTTTAACATTTTTTTTTTATATGATGTTAGGTTCATATATCCGACACAACTAAAATATGAAATGTACCAACAGTTGGTATATATATCAACATTGCGAGTATCTCTACAGCTTAGGAAACGGCATTTTGCCGTTTTCAGAACTTTTTTATTCACAAAAAAAAACTTTCTTTAACGTCTAAGCACTTTTTCGAATGCAAAAGGTTCTTAAAACGATAAGATACTCTTTCATAAATTTTATGGGAATATCTAGTAAACACAAACAGAATGAATACCAAGGAAGTAAGAAGCATCATGTCCTATTCATGCAGAATAATAAGAAATATTAGAAGAAACACAAAAAACAATGACAAAATGCATTTATATATATATATAGATGGTGATACAGTAACAAAGACACCACACTTTTACGAATAACCTTTCTCAATTATTGCTAAATCCGGGCGCATGACCAACACTACAAGTGTTGAATAAAACAATCTGAAGAATAGAACCAAAACTTGTCTCTTAAATTCAATATTTAGAGAAACACGTACGAAATCATTTTTCAAATGACCCATCTGGAATTTGTTTGAAGACGACAGCATTATAGATCTGTACTCCATAATATACAACAACTTTTAAAACAACATCCGAGTTCTAGTCTACACAGGTCCTTCCCTGGGCCTAGTTTAGAATATGATTAGGTGATCGAGTAGGATTGCAGGACCCTAACTGATAGTATACACTTGAGATTGAGATCAATCTTGTAATAAGTGCTAAAAGAACCATAATTTCTACCGTGCAGCTAAAAACTCTAAAATTTTGTTATATTTGAAGAAGTGTTAATCAGATTAGAGTGAGTGACATCTTTTCTTTCGAAATAATATTTAAAAGAGTTCAACGAATATATATTCGAGTTAAAATAACTTGTTTCTAAAAAAATCATAAACGTAGAAAAAAAGCAATTAGCATAGTAACACATCTTTCATAAAGAATTCATTTCTGTGAACAAAGTTTTAAACATATAAATGTGACGAATAAAAGATATTTATTTAAATGAATAACATAGCAATACAGATTTGTTTTAAATATCTATTCAACTATCAATACTAAATGAATTAATAATTTCGAGCTTACTCTATCTAAAACGAAAAACTACATTGAAGTCTTTTGCTGAGTTTAAATATTCAAATAAAACAGAAACTGCTTATAAAATGTTACGTTTTAAATAATATTGAATAGTAATTTCAAAGATATTCATTAACATTAAATATTAATTTTCACTTGATTCAGTTACTTTGTCCTGTACAACATTGTCGAAAACATGAAAAACAACATTGAAGACTACTCCATATAATAGTTATTATAAGTAATGCAAATGTTGCTTTATATAAAACTGGTTCACAATAATTAGATTTCAATCGATTATCAAATTGTACTTCATTACGAATGCTGAATACCCAGACACAACCAAGAATGAACCAAATAAAAAGAAAAATTGATATTATAATTGTTGCCAATATACTTATACATAGAGAACAGCTAGCTAATACATTCAATGCTGTTGAATCCGAAACAAAACACATGAATGTACTAAAAAAAAAGAAGTATTAAATATCGATAGAATTTTTTAAAAACCTAGATATACATAGAAAGCAAAATGGCGATTCCAGTCAATGCTAAACCACAGACACCAGAAACAATCATATAAGTTGGAATACGTTGATCAATAGGACAATCTCCTTTGTAATATGCACCAATTATCAATTGAATTAATGGAATAATAGATGCAAGCAATGCCGAACTAGAAAATTATATAGTTGTTTAAACTCAAACTACATAGATTAAAATAAAATTTACAAAAGACTAAAAGTTGAACCAAATGTTTTCCCAGCGGTAGCCATTGAAAAAGGAGATACCGTGCTAGATTCACTTCTTAATGGGACCGTTTCACTAGTTCCTTCCATTGCAGTTGAATTCACTTGAGCGTTGCAAAAAATTAGAAAAAAAACCAGATGGCTCGATATGTCAACGTAAACGTTTGCTTGTCATATTTTTACTTTCTCTTTTATATATTCACACGTTCTGTTCTCCATCTATTTTTTTTTCTCGGACCAGCAATAAATGCAAACTATGCGCACAGTTGTAATACTAGCGACTTTCTCGCTTGCTCAAGCGAAAATTAGAGCGATCGTAGTGATGAATCATATCACCATATTTTTTGCCTATTTCTTGTATTGCATAAAAAAGAAAAGTGTGACGAATGGTAGAAAAATAAATGAAACCAACAGCAATTAATACTGATGGATGTTGCATGCAATGAGAAAGAGACTCAAATTGAAGCATGACTGGAATAATAATGGTTATTCTACTTTGGTGAATAGCAATCAAAGAGATGCATTGATTACTTTTTTCTATTTATTATATAATCTCTTTCGTGGAAAAAATGAATAGTTCTAATGAAAAGACTTATATAGAATCCAATAGAAAATAGTTCAATTGCAATCAAATTGTTTGCGCAGCAAACTCAAAATTAAAATGTATTTAGTAGATTTTGACGATTAAAAAAGATTAAAAATATCTTCTAAATTAATTATAACTTTGAGTTTGTTTGCAAAATATTCTGGTTTTAATCAAAGCATTTTTTTTGTATAGTGCACCATCATTTGTGAAATAGAATGTATTTCAAGAAGTATATTTTGTTTTTTTAATGATACCATTCAATATTTGCTCAATAACTCATAAAAGTAAAGGAATGAAATTGTAGTTCAATACGAAATGAAAATCCACTAATATTATATGTATTTTGATGAAGACTTCGTTTTACAACACTCGTCTTGATTCGTATTTATTCTATGGCTTATTAATTATGCTGTATCCATAAGAATTCTAAACTTGCAATTGTATCAGTGCGGTTTTATGTATTAATTTGACAAAATCTCATGTCCACTTTTAAGATGATACACACTTGTCTTTATGAAATAATGCTAGATAGAATGAGTAAAAAAAATTGCACTTAGAATCACTATTCATAACCTGCTTAAATCGTAGTAGTTGCTTTGATACTGTGATGGAAAATCAAGATTTGACAGTATTCAAGAATCGTTGCTTTTCTATTGAAGCTTTTCACAAAGGATACATCAGATAATACGATTTGTTACATCCATTGCATATACGTTGGCTACCTCTCATTTACGAACATAAAAAAAATAAATTTTAAGTAAACTAAA